CAATGGATTGATGTTGTTTGCAACAGGAACAGTCCAGTTCGATATGATGAACTGATATTTTGCAAATTAACGATTTACGATATGGTTTTCCGATTTTACTGAGTAACTCTGTAATTTTCGTTAAATACAATTCGCATTCTCGTGTACTACAGAATGATCTTATTTGATATCTGCTCCTGTTAATTATTATTTCCTCATATTTACTAAAGGTTAATTTATTCTATGTAAAACGTGCCTAATTATCTTACCTCAAAATGAAAAAAAGGCGTTTTTTCTAAGGTTTCAGTTCGATAAATACTACTACTGCTACTACTACTGCTACTACTACTACTACTACTACTACTACTACTACTACTACTACTACTACTACTACTACTACTACTACTACTACTACTACTACTACTACTACTACTACTACTACTCGACTACTTCTACTACTAGTAAAATTAGTAATAACAATAATAACTCATGAACTTACTTCAATTAAATGACGAACGGAATTAACATCATGACCCCAACTACTAGTAATGCATAAATGCTTAACTCTTTCAGCTTGTTGAATAACATTTTCAGCTGAATTAAAGCATTCCATAGCTAAATCTAATAATCTTCCACGTTGTGTTAATATACCGAGTAAATCACGCCAAGCACGATTCAGCGATTCTGACATTGCTGCATATACTTGACTTTGATTATCTGATGTTTGTTGTGTAACCAAATCATCAGCTCTGGATAAAAGTTCTGATATTTGTTCTTGTTTTGACTGTAAGTAAATAAAATTACCGTATAGGAAATTATAAAATGTAAGAATGTTATAAAGTTACCAGTCTAGACAGTTCATCAATCTGCTGGGTAGTTTAAGACAGTGTTGAGTAGACTTAAACCTAGGTTTCACGCTATTTAGCACTCGTTAGCAAGGAGTTAACCAATTTTAACTGTCAAACATTTCGACATAATACACGAAATACCAAGTCACTTAGACCAGTGATCACATTGCAACTTGATGAATGAAATGCCATCAGGACTAGACAAACATGATATTAGTCACCACTTAGTGGTTTGTCAGTTGTAGTTCAGCTAACTTTCTGGAGTCGGATGCTATTGAGATGGTGTTCAGTCAACTAGCCGTTACAAACTAAAAGCCAAGATTTTCTAATGTAAACGTACGACAGCTTCTCAAGCTTATGATATAGATAGGAATTATGACTGAAAAAATCTAAGACTCTCTATTAAAAGTAACAGGTTTCTAAAAGTAAACTTGGTCTTTACTAGAGTTTTATCCATTAGTGAACCCAAAAAAATGTTTGTTAGTTTACCCTAATTTCCTTGATTGAATGAAGTTCATGAAAATATTGGTTGTCCAGTCATTCATTCTTTTTAGGTTTAACAAATAATTCTGCTTTATTGCATTATAGTTGTATGGAGGTCGTTGTTTTGCATTAGAATCGTGAATGAATCATAGACCACCAGCAGAAACCTGCAAGCACTAAAAGGCAGTTGACATTAACACACTTGGATTTTGGCTTTTTGGCTAGGCATCCACGCACAAGATGGAAGCTCATGGGTTCGAATCCCGCAAGTAGCAGGAGTCTTAGGTACGTACAGCTAATGAGTCCCATAGCGTGACGAAACGGTCATCCAGTGGCTCTAGGTTTCAAATCGTGGTCTAACACTTTCATTCATGATTTCAATGTAAAATAATTCTGTACTGATCGGTGCTTTTACTCAATAATGTCACGAAACACGATACTTTTGCTCATAAGATAATATCATCTAATCTCCAAGTTACCATAACATTATTCAGTAATGAACATTGCCTGAAGTTTGAGCTATGAAATCATAGGTATGTATACTGCACTTGTGATGAAATCTGGGTCCATGTTTTCGTTTTTTTTCAAATAATACCACTTTATGATTACAATTTTTATTGTGCATTACGGGGTTGTGAAGATTGTTAAGTTACACATTTTTTGAAGCCATGAATCGATCAATGTTAGACCACCATTAGAAACCTGGAAGCACTGGACGGCCGTTTCGTCCTGGTATGGGACTCCTCAGCAGTGCGCATCCACGACTCCTGCATCCACTCATCCAGGGAAGTTCAACCTGTTCGGGTGTGAAGCAGCGCTCACCGAAGACTGTGTATGAGGTTGCGCAACTCCGTGAATTGATCAAGTTAGACTTTAACACCGTTTGATACTGGCTCAGTGGTCCGATGGTTGGGCGTTCGACAACAGTGCCGAAGGTCCTGAGTTCGAATCCTGCGGGGTGCAGGAGTCGTGGATGCGTATTGCTGAGGAGTCCCATACCAGGACGAAACGGCCTTCCAGTGCTTCCAAGTTTCTAATGGTGGTCTAACATTGATCGAATTATGGTTTCAAAAAATGTGTAATTTTTATTGTGTCAATGATGACCAACTAATCAATCTACTATGATTAATTGATGAATAGTTAACGTGATTCAGTCGATAAATAAACACTGCAAAGTTCAATACGACATTATACTATTCGAACTTGACTATAATCAACTAAGTTGAAAATTCATTTGTTATTATCAATGGATCTTTTTGTTTTCTTTTCCAACAAACAGAATTTTGGAGAAAACGAATATATATATGCTATAATTGACAGAACCTGTACATAAATATTATATATATAATCTTTTTACCGTTTTTGTTTTACTCTACTATTGTTTTAAAATACATAAAAAAATTGAATGAATGATTCATTGGTAAGAGTTACAAATTCCAACAATTGCTAGTATTATCGATAATAATATTTTAAAAGGAAAAACAAATTAGTGTTTACTTGAAATTGTAAACTTTATTATCAAATGAATCATAAGTGATATGAGGAATTGTATTTCATGTAATGTTTTACTTTAGCATGGTGTGAAGAAATATTCAAATGTGTTGATGATCTATGATAGAATATTTTAAATGAATAGTTTATACATCAATCGATTCCAGTCTCATTCATATTATAAATAATCGTTTAAACCGAATCATGATAGATCAGACTAGATTTTATGATAATAATAATCAATAGCTATTGACTTCAGCCGGTAAAGTAAAAGCACTATGGAAGCAATTGGTACAAGATGAACATATGCCAAATAAAACTGACTAATTTCACTTCTGAGATGGTGGAGAAAACTTGTAGCTCAGGTGGATTCTAATGCTTCACTTCTATCTGAAGTTCGTGCTGATGATGTTGTTCAGAAGAACAATGAAAGCTCCACAACCAAAACAACCAGCTCAGAGAACGAAACACCACCATAATTTCACTTCTAAACATTTTTGGATAGATTTAGACAAGCAATAAAAATGAATTAACATTCACTCTGTTGCACAAGTGTGTGTCTATTTGAACTCAGTAGTCGAATAGATAATTCAATGGCATTTGAAGTGAAGTTGATAAGTTCCAAATAGGAAAAAATGCATGTTTTTTAAACTTAGTAATTAATTATTCATTACACTACAATTCAATCTGATTATTGTGTAGATAGAAGTTCGGTTAAAATGTATTAATTTTAAGCAATAGGGAACAATATAGTAAAATATTACATCATCAGATCTGTTGATCAATGAAAGATGATTATTTTCAAGTACATAATGACTTATTCTATTTCACGTAATCATCTTTCAATATCGTTAAAATATACACATTTTTTTCGTTTTTAATTTGTCTAGCTATAGGATTGATGCAAACTAGTCGTACAAATTAATTCAATAATGAGTGGAAATTATTGAGTTACGGTTATATTTCACTTAGTACTTTTTTAAACAATGAATTGTGACAATGTAACTGTTCTCCTTAACTCACAGTATAGACTGACTTCAGACTATTTAAATAACATTTACAGATATAGGTTAGTCAGCCGTGGATAAAATCTTTTTCGAACAAAATACGTATGGTGTAAATGATTTTGTCAACATACTTGAAAAACAAAATATGTAATCGATGAAAATGCTGAAGTATTTCAGGTTTTAACTGATATGATTCGGCACACATTTATGAAAGGACGTAAATGTGATGTTCATTGAGAAACGAAAAGTCATCAGGAGCCGTCCTATGGTTAGTGCCGGTACCAAGTCCGGATAAAGGATGAGGCCTAGGCATGGGGTTAGCTAGTTCGATAGGAAGCTGTCTACTCTTCCATATCGATTACTCATCTAGATTGCATATATATATATATATATATATATATATATATACATATATATATATATATATATATATGAAAATGCAATCTATGGAACATGATGATCAGTGTTTGTATTCTAAATAATAATAAAATCATTCAGACAAAAGTTGATTCGATTGTGTTTTTGTTTGTCGTTAAAAAAAAAAAATTAACATACCGCTAATTTAGCACATAAATGTTCATGTATTTCATGTAAAGAACGAGCTTCATCTGCATTTCCTCCAATATCATAAAGATCTGGTTCCATACGTTGAATTCGAACACGTATCCAACTTCCACACTTTATAACAAGACCAATACAAACAATAAAAATGAAATAATCGAGTTATTTTTTTTAAAAATAAAAATTAGTAATAACGTTTGATTGGATTATTTTGATGAAATTTTATATCTGAGTAAATAAATATTCAGACTTAGAAAAAGAGTAAGCTAAAATTGTATAAAAGAATAGCATCGTCACAAAATTCTGGTCATCAATTTTAGTATGACGAATAAGCTTGGCTAAAATCTTTTTGCGTTACATAGAGATGGAAGTTTTATGGAATCATGAATGAATCATTGTTAGACCACAATTCGAAACCTGAAAACACTGGGCAATCGTTTCGTCCTGCTAAAGGACTCATCAGCTGTGGGCATCCACATTTTCTGCTAGTCTCAGAATTCAAACCCAGGAGCTTCGGCTTTGTGCTCGAACGCCTGACCTCTAGACTACTTTGTCAACATCCAGTGGTGTTAATTTTTGAAACTGATCGATCCGACGATTTAGCGCAACCTTACCAAAATATAATAAATTGATATTATCTTTACTGTGATATTTTGAAGAGCATAACGTATAACTGTAGTTTAGACACCATGAATTTATTTCAGGTTGAATTCCATAAATATTGGACTGTTAGTATTTGGAATTTTATCTACAACCACACTGACTGAGGACTGATGTTCATACTTCTATGAAGTTGTGTTTTTTAAAGAATTACTAATTATTGGTGGATGATAATTCAAGCGTTTGATGATGATAAATTCCAGCTGCACTTTGTACAACAACATACATGATAATAAGCTTCATATTTTTGTTTATAGAAATTTCTAGAAACAAAAACACTTTGGGACAATAAATGGACTCATTTTGTACATGAGTTTCGTTCAAAAAACGTTGGAAAGCAATTGTGAAAAGATATAATTGAAAGAGTATTTCAATGAAAAATACCAACACATGACATCATTTTCAGTTGCCATAGTAGTTATAACATTATGTTTGTATAAATTTTTTTTTATCTATAGTATGAAACATATTCATTGCGTTTGTGATTAGTTTCGAGTAATCTATTAGAAAGCATGTTTTCGTCAACATTTACTTAATATTTTCAGTTAGAGCTTTGGAGATTTGTGTTTTTGCACATTTGAACTTGTCAATCAACTATTGTTAGACCACCATTAGAAACATGGAAGCACTGGACGGCCGTTTCTTCCTGGTATGGGACTCATCAGTAGTGCGCATCCACGACTCCTGCTTCTCGCAGGACTCGAACCCGGGACCTTCGTTATTGTGCGCGAATGCCTAACTATTGAACCAGTGGGCCAGCATCTAACGGTGTTAATGTCTAACTCTGATTGGTCTATGGATCACTTAC